CAATCCCATTATTCCCACGACCCCCCTATCCTACAATTCCACGATCCCCCCATTCCCATTCCCATTCCCATTCCCGTTCCCTCCCGGTCTCCATGGCAGCGCCCGGAAGTTCCCGCCGGTTTCCATGGCAACGACCGGAAGTGCCCCTGTCAGACCGGAAGTGGCGGCGCGGGGCGGGCAGTGCCGTGAGGGCGCCATGTCGGCCATGTCTGCGGGCGGCGGAGCGCAGCGGGACGCGGGGGCCGCGGGCGGGTGAGGGCGGCCACCTCCTCCCCCTTCTCCTCCTCCTCCTCCCCTTCCTCATTCTCCTCGTCCTCCTCGCCCTCCTCACCCTCCTCTCCTCTCTCTGCAGGCGCCGCAGCAAGTGGGACCAGCCGGGCCCGGCGCCCACCTTCCTGCTGCCCGGCACGGCGCCGCTGCCCGGCCGGCCCTTCCCCGCCGGGGGCGGCGATGGCGGCGCCGCCGCCGCGGCCGGGGCCGAGGGCTCCGCGGCGCCCTCGGGAGCGCTGGATGCGGCCGCGGCCGTGGCGGCCAAGATCAACGCCATGCTGATGGCCAAGGGGAAGCTGAAGCCGGCGCCCAGCACGGCCGACAAGGTGGGTGGGAGAGGGGGGCGGTCGCGGGTGGGCTCAGGAGACCGTGGAGTTGGGGGCGGCAGAATCGCTCAGGAAACATACTTTTAATTTTTTTTTCTTTTTCTTCAGCCTTGTAAGGCTTTACGAATCCACCTCGGGTGGGGGGGAAGGGGGGGTAAAAAGTTTTTCCGCGGGGTCACGGAATGTTCTGGGCTGGAAGGGACGGCACGAGGATCACCCAGCCCAGCTCTTTTAGAGTGGTTTTCCTGAAGGGTTTCCCAGCTAGCAGAGCTCATGGAAAAGATGATGATTTGTCTTGGAAAGGGCCTTAAAGCTCATCCAGCTCCATGGGCAGGGACACCATCCACTAGCCCGGGTTGCTCCTTGGACAATTCCAGGGATCCGGGAGCAACCACAGCTTCTCTGGGAATTCCATCCCGGCCGCTCCCCACGCTCACAGGGAGGAATTCCTTCCCAATGTATGGTTTTATTATTTAATACAGAAAAAAAAATATAATATGTTTATGGTTTTATTGCTGTTGGTAGGAAATGCTCAGTGGGGGCATTTCCCAGAGTAATTAAACTCTGGTGACGCTTCAGGTTTGGAGGGGGTGGAAATCAAGGAACTGCAGGTTAATGAATGGACTTTTTTTTTTTTTTTTTTTAAATAAAAAAGTGGAAGGAGTGGAGCAATTTAATATCTGTACATTTTAATGCCTGTACAGTTTAAAGTCTGTGCAATGCACTGCAGTCCCTCTGTGGCTCTTTTTTAAGCGCTGTGTCTTCCTGTGATATTTGGTGAGTGGTTGGGTGTTACTGAAAGATTCTCCTTTTTTTTTTTTAAATAAAGTCTTGGTCGATGTTTAGAACCCCCCAAAATCCACTCCAGAGCCTTTAGAAGGCTGTACTCACTCCACACATTGAAAAAAAAAAAAAAAAAAAAAGCTCCCAGGTCTTAGTGGTAACTCCCAACTCCTCCTAAATCTGTGGCTCTTGTGGCTTTTTTATTTCTCAGGGTGTCGACACTGACACAAAATATTCCGTTTTTAAAAAGGGGGAGTTCAAATCCTGAGCAGAAATTCGAAGTTCTCTCTGTGTGACATAAAGTTCACCTTCCTTTGGTCTCAGATTTCTGCCCGTTCAGGCGGGAGGTGCCGCGGTCGCTGCTCCAGCAGCTTCACAGCTCAGGCTCTGCCTCTGCTCCTGCCCTCCCAGAGCAGAAACATTAACGATTATCTTAAAATGTGGCGGAGATGAAAGGCTTTTGTTTGGGCTCAGGGCTGTGAGGGGGCAGACCGAGCAGCTCCAGAGTTCTTTCTGTTAATGTTTGTGACGATTTTGGGGCTCAACAACTGGAGAGGGTGAGCGAGGAGAAGGACCTTCACCCCCCCCCACCCAGAACCAGTTTGTTCCTTGCACCGCCGCTTTCCAACCACTGGGAATGTTGTTCTCTGTTGAAGCTGCAGGCTCTGGGAAAAGGTCCAGCCGCCAGCAAGAGCAAAGATGACCTCGTGGTGGCAGAGGTGGAGATCAACGACGTGCCCCTCACCTGCAGGAACCTGCTGACCAGGGGGCAGACCCAGGACGAGGTAGGAGCTGAATTTACGTAACACTCTGACGTTTGGAAGCCCGAAAAATGGACTCCGAGGCTGAGCTTTGACTGGTGGGGTGGGAGGAACCTGCAGCAAGTTATTGTTTTGCTGTGGCTTCGTTAATGGTTGGTAAATGAGTTTCCATCTGTTGCAGATCAGCCGCCTGAGCGGAGCTGCTGTGTCCACCCGAGGGAGGTTCATGACCGCGGAGGAGAAAGCGAAAGTGGGACCTGGGTTTGTAGCTCTTTGGTGTTTTTTTTTGGGGGGGTTCTGCTTTTTTTCTCTCTCCTCGGGAGGGGGATTGCTGAGGTGCCTGTTTGGTTTGCTCTCCGTGAGCAGTTTTGCCACAATTCATAGTTTGCCATAATTCATAATTTCTAATTTTTTAATATGTTTTCATTATTCATAATTTACCATATTAATAATTTGACACAATTAATAATTTGTAATTTTTTTAATATGTTGTCACAGTTCACATTTTGCCACCGTTCATAGTTTGCCTTTTTTATATAATTTGCCGCTGTTCATAATTTGTCATTATTAATAATTTTCCACTATTGATAATTTGCTATCATTCATATTTTGGTATAGTTAATAAATTACCATCGCTCATATTTTGGTATAATTAATAAATCGCCATAATTCATAATTTGCCACAATTAATAATTTACTACTTTTCATAATTTACTACTTTTCATAATTTACCATTTTTTCATAATTTGCCATAATTCATAATTTCCCATCATTCATATTTTGCCACCATTCATAATTTGCTACAATTACTATTTTGCCGTAATTCCTAATTTACCAGTTTGATGGTCCTGACCACACCACTTCTTCCCTACCTGCCTAAGAATTGACTGAAATTCTGACTGTGCACAAACAAATTAAAATTTCCAGTGGTGTAACTCTAATAAAACATCACATAAATTTTTTATTTTTTTGGTGTTTGATACTCCAGGAACTTGCATCCTCTTATTTGAGGAGATCTTTGTGACTGCCTGTCCGTAAAGTAAATTAAATTTAGTCCATTGCTGGGTGGGTTTCATGGAATTTTTTCCATTCCCTCCCCAGGGACCGTCCCTTGTATCTTCACGTGCAGGGTCAGACGCGGGAGCTGGTGGACAGTAAGTGCAAAACAATCTGCTTTTCCCCCATTTTAGGGGGGCCCCCTGAGTGGCCTTGTCTGATTTGCACCGTAAATGTCTCGGTGTTGGTAACAGATTCCATCCAAACGCTGCAATTCCTGAGGTCCCACCTGCTGCATTCAGGAAACTCTGGAGAGAGCCGGGAAACTTTGGGGAGACCGCAGGGAGGGTGGGGGGAGTGGGTGGGTGGGTTTTCTAGGCAGGTGGTCTCGTGGATAACACACCCAGATCCCACTGGAACAGGACAGAGTGACAAGAAGGGACCACACGGGGTCACCAGGCAGGATCATCCCCCTGGGATGTGTCCAGGATGGCTCTGGAATATCCCCAGGGAGGGACACTCCCCCCTCTCCCCGGGCAGCCTGTTCGGGGCTGGGTCACTGCCCAGGGAGGAAGTTCTTCCTCGAGTCCAGGTGCAACTTCTGGGCATCAGTTTGGTGTCTTGTTTTTGCTTCCCAGCCTGTGCCGGTGCCTGGGGTTGTTCCTCCCCGGCTGCAGGACCTAAAACGTCGGTGTTTGTCCTAAAACATCAGTCCAGGCTTGGCCAGGGTGGGAGAGGACAGGGAGCTCTGATGTTTCATGGAATCAAAGGGACCCACAAGGATCATGGAGTGCAACCCCAACAATCCCCCCCATTCTTCAGGGCGTTGTCCAAACCCTCCTGGAGCTCTGGCAGCCTTGGGGCCGTGCCCACTGCCCTGTGGAGCCTGTTCAGTGCCCAAACCACCCTCTGGGGGAAGAACATTTCCAAATATCCAGCTGAAATGCCCTTCCAGAGCTCCAGCTGCTCCCCCAGGGTGCCTTGGTGCCATCCTCTGTGATCCTCCCACCCCAGGGTACCAACCTGGGGGCCCCCCTGGCAGATGAACCCCTCGTGTCACAGAGCAGGGACAGCTGGGCTGGAAAGCAGGAATTGATCTCGTTTTCTGTCGATCAGGAGCCGTGAACAGGATTAAGGAGATCATCACCAACGGGGTGGTGAAGGCAGCCACGGGCTCCAGCCCCACCTTCAACGGGGCCACGGTCACCGTGTACCACCAGCCAGCCCCCATCGCCCAGATGAGCCCAGCTGTTGGCCAAAAACCTCCTTTCCAGTCAGGGGTGAGTATTCAAGATCCACTGAACGGCACTGCTGACAAGGTTTAGCTGTTCCAAAGTACTCCTAAGTTTGTGAAAAATAAACCCAAACGAGGAGAAAAACCCCACAAAATCCACAGCTCAAACTGCATCATCATCATCATAATAGCCATAAAATAACAAAAAGCTAAAATAAAAGTAGAAACCAAAAATATAAATAAAATTAAACATTAAAAAAAAAATAGTTAAACAATTAAAATAAAAATATGCAGGTCAAAATGAATATTAAAATAATTATTAACAATAATACAAGTAAAATGTACTATAAAAATGGAAGTAATAAAAGTTAAAATAAAAATAAGAAAATTAATATATAAAAGTGAAATTAATAAAAATGAAAATAAAATATAAAATTAAGTACAATTTATTATATAATTTATGATTATATATGATAATGTAATAGTGATATGGTATATATCATTATAATTTTATAAATAAGATAAAAATTAAACTAGAAATCAAAATTAAACAGAAAACATAAAAAAATAAAATAAGAAAAAATAAAATAAAAATTAAAAATCAACGCCCCTCTTGTGTGTTGTTAAAAAACTGGAGGACTAAAGAGGCTGAGTCTGGAGAGTGAGACTCAGGTGACAGTGGCCTCCTGACAGCAAAGGGATGGAGAGAGCAGTCCTGCTCCCAGCAGAGCCCAGGGCTGACTGTGCCATCTCACACTCACCTCTGCTGTGCTCACACAGAGGATTTCTGCCCCCCATTTCCCAGCTCTGAGGGAAATAACCAGCTCTCCCTGCTTGCTTGCAGATGCATTACGTGCAGGACAAGCTGTTTGTGGGGCTGGAACACGCCGTGCCCACCTTCAACGTGAAGGAGAAGGTGGAGGGGCCTGGCTGCTCCTACCTGCAGCACATCCAGGTGGAGACGGGCGCCAAGGTCTTCCTGCGAGGGAAGGGCTCGGGCTGCATCGAGCCAGCCTCGGGCAGAGAGGCCTTCGAGCCCATGTACATCTACATCAGGTATGGGGGGGGGGGCTAAAAACACGCAAATTCCCAGTTCCCAGGCAGGGATCACGGAATCACAGGATTGGAAGGGACCCCTGAGATCATCCGGCCCAGCCCTCGCTCCAACCCTGCTGTGGTTCCCAGCCCGTGGCACTGAGGCCACAGCCAGGGACAGAGAGTCCACCCCCTCCCTAAACAGCCCATTCCAATGTCTGATCACTCTGGAAACAAAACCTCCCCTGGCACAGCTGGAGACCCTCTTGTCCTACCACAGGGAGCAGAGCCCGACCTCCCCCAGCTCCCCTCTCGTGTCAGGGGGTTGTGGAGAGTGGGGAGGTCTCCCCTGAGCCGCCTCCTCTCCAGGCTGAGCCCCCTCCCAGCTCCCTCAGCCTCTCCCCACGGGAATTGTGCTCCAGACCCTTCCCCAGCCTCGCTGCTCTTCTCTGGACCTGCCCCAGCCCCTCCCTGTCCTTCCTGAGCTGAGGGCCCAGAGCTGGACACCAATCCCATCCCAATTCCCAGCTCCCTTTTTGGCCCCCCACTCTGTCCCCAGCCCGGGGGGCTGCAGGGGGTTGTTGTGGCCGAAGGGCAGGACCCGCCACTTGGCCTGGTTGAACCTCATCCCACTGGATCCTTCCCATCTCTCCAGCCTGTCCAGGTCCCTCTGCAGAGCCCTCCAGATGATGACACTCCCCCCAGCCTGGTGTCACCTGCACGTTTGCTGATGATGCACTCGATCCCCTCATCTAAATCATCAGTAAAGGTGTTAAACTGAGCCCAGCGCTGATCCCTGGGGGATCTGTAAAGTGGCAAAGAATCAACCCTACACTCCTACAGAGTGGAATCAGGGAATCCCAGAGTGGTTTGGGCTGGAAGGGACCTTAAACCCGTCCAGTTCCACCCCCTGCCATGAGCAGGGACACCTTCCAATAGCCCAAATTTTTTCCTTGAAACCTTCATTCTTAGACCAGAATTTCTTCTTAAGGGGGTCAGTCTGACAGCAGATTGCTGATGGAAGAGGGAGCTCCCAAACCTGTCAAGAGTTGTGCTGATGAGCTGGTTTGTTTTTTTTCTTTTTCTGTCTGCTCTTTCAGCCACCCAAAGCCAGAAGGTTTGGCAGCTGCTAAAAAGCTGTGTGAGAACCTCTTGCAAACAGTGAGTAGCTCTTACAAATGTGAGGTTTCAGGGCCTGTTGTATCTTTGGGGTAAAACTATAAAACTAATGATGCTTTAATGCTCTTTTTAATGTCTGTGTGTCTGACTTGCTCAGGGGTTTCCAGCAGCACTTGGAAGGGAATCTTAATTCTTGTGCAGACAACAAACATTTCTCAGGATGGAGCTGTAGTAGTGGAATTTTAGGGGGGGGGGGGGGGGGAAAGCTTCCCATGTTATCCAGAGCTGCACTGTCTGCTTCAGGGAACAGGGAGTGATTGGTGTAACCCAAAATAAAATCCTAGAAAATCTCTCACAAAATGAGTTTCTCTCTTAAGCTTTTCTCATCTGAATGCAAATGGAGCAAAGCCCTGTGGGAGCCTTTCTGTTAATATTGATAATTGAGTGTAGGCTGCAAAGTTTCCCTTGAAAGAAATATCATGGAAGCTTTTTAGGTTCTCTGAGTGTCTTGTCTCTGTTGTAGCAGTTGATTTGCCGTTCTCTTTTTTCACTTCCCTTAATCTGGGAAAGATTATCCCGTATTTTACACAAATCTACCCCAGAGGGGCCAGGAGTTCGCTGGGGTGGGTTTGAACGTTTGGGTTATGGCTGTCCTTGTGCGTGGTGTGCTCTGTAATCAGCAGAACACCCTCACAGGGCTGTGGGGGTTGCACAGAGGCTGATTTGGGAACTAGATGTTTGTTGTGTCATCCCTGGAAATCCTTCTGTAGGTCCACGCCGAGTACTCCCGATTTGTGAACCAGATAACCACTGCAGTGCCCCTGGCAGGTAAACACCAGCCCCAATTTACCTCTCAGAGCCCTTCTTTGATATTCTCTGCTAAACTGGCTGATTGATTTAATCGTGACCCTCTTTTTTTTCCACCCCCCCCCACCAGGCTTCACCCAACCCGCCACCATCAACAGCGTCCCCTCCCAGCCGTCCTACTACCCCTCCAACGGGTACCAGTCGGGGTACCCCGTGGTGGCCCCTCCTCAGCAGCCCGTCCAGCCGCCCTACGGGGTGCCAGGCATCGTCCCCCCCGCCGTGCCCCTGGCCCCGGGAGTGCTGCCAGCCCTGCCCACGGCCGTGCCACCCGTGCCCACGCAGTACCCCATCCCTCAGGTGCAGCCTCCAGCTAGCACCGGCCAGGTACTGCCCCCGGGGGTGTCCCCTCAGCTCTGCCCCGCTGGGAGGGTTTTGGGGGGGACGGGGGGGGCACGTGGAGAGCTCTTTGGGGTCTCCTGGGGTTGTTGTTGCTTTGCTGGTGCTTCCCTCTAAGCCACTGGGGGGGTTGAGGCTTCACACACTGCGGGTTTTTAGGTGCCCTGTGAACATCAGGGCAGTGGTGGCTCCTTTTTGGGGGATGGTGGATTGTTTTTGATAGGTGGCATCCCAGGCCGTGACGCCCCTGGTTGATTCTGCCCGACTTCAGGCAAGGGAAGTGGTTTCTGATGCTGGCTTTGCTTTTAGTAGAGATGTCTCCAAAGTGGTAAAAGGTGCCAGGGTGGAATCCCAGACTGGTTTGGGTGGGAAGGGACCTTAAAGCTCATCCAGTGCCAGGGACAAGAGTTTGGGTTACAGGTCAGGATGAGTCTGAGTGACAGGTTAGGATGAGTCTGAGTTATAGATAAGGATGAGTCTGAGTTACAGGTAAGGATTAGTCTGGATTACAGATAAGGATGAGTTTGAGTTACAGGTTAGGATGGGTTTGAGTTACAGGTTAGGATGGGTTTGAGTTACAGGTTAGGATGGGTTTGAGTTACAGGTTAGGATGAGTCTGGGTTACAGCTCAGGATGAGTCTGAGTTACAGGTTAGGATTAGTCTGAGTTACAATTTAGGATTAGTCTGGGTTACAGCTCAGGATGAGTCTGAGTTACAGGTTAGGATTAGTCTGAGTTACAATTTAGGATGAGTCTGAGTTACAATTTAGGATGAGTCTGAGTTGCAGATAAGGATTAGTCTGGGTTACAGATAAAGGTTAATCTGGGTTACAGATAAAGGTTAATCTGGGTTACATCTTAGGATGAGTCTGAGGTGGGAGCATTCTGCCAATGAAATACTTCATTTACCTCCAAGCTGTGAATTTTCTCTTCTTTTACATTTTTTCCAAAGCCAGACTTAGTTGTGTTGTGCCCCTCTGCATGAAACCGCGGGGAACGAGCCGTTAACTTGCACAACCCCAATTTTTTCCCTGTGTTTTGTCTCCACCTTGTGCACGCCAGAGTCCGCTGAGCGCTCCTTTCCTTCCTGCCGCCCCAGTAAAAACCAGCCTGCCAACTGGTGCTCAGCCACAAGTGCAAGCCCACCCCCAGGGCCAAAAGAGACGCTTCACCGAGGAGCTGCCCGATGAGAGGGAGTCGGGACTGCTGGGATACCAGGTGGAATAAAATCAGCAATTTTACTGCATCCCCCCCCTCCCCCTTAAACCAGAGCTGGGTTGGAGAGAGGTGGTTCTCAGCTGAGTTCATCTGGCAGGGCTCTTTGGCAGAGGGCAGAGCTGTCCCAAAACAGGGAGGGTGGAGGGGGGGGGCCACGCTTTTGGTGTCTCCTGAGCGGATTCACCGCTCTTAAACTGGGGCTGGATTCATCCCAGCCTTGCCCAAACTCGGAGCAGAGTGTTCAGCTCAGAGATCACAACAGTGTGGGACTTGTTTAATGTCAAACCAGATTATTTTGGGGGCTTACTGGATTTTATTTTTTTTTTTTGGTGAGTGTTTCGAGGAGCGGGAGGGAAAACGTGGCAATAACTCCCAGATTTTCCCACCGCCCTTTCTTGCAGGTTGCACTTGAGAGGATTTCAAGAAGCCTAGTTTTAAAAACTCATTTATCTGAATTTTTTATTTTTTAGCTAGCAAGTTTTAGATAACTTTAGGAAAGCTCACTTTGAGTTCTTCAGATTTTTTTTTTTTTTTTTTTACGGGAGGAAAGGGAGTGCCTGCAAATGTTTCCCTGATCATCCACCCCCTAATAAAAATAAGGAATTTTAGAGATAACAGTGGCCTGTCCAGCTCAGAATGAGCTGAGTGAGGAGGTAACAGGTGCTCTTTTATCACCCTGCCCTGCAGCAAAGCTGCAGCAGGAGCTGAGCTGCCCCCTGCCCTCATCATTTTTTTAGGAGAGAGCGTTTTGTTTTTTTTTTTTTTGGTGCCAGGCTGGTGATGTGTAGCGGTTCCTCCTATAGCTGTGGCAAGTTGGGTGTTTCCTAACAGGTATCATTGAGGAGCTGGAGCTCGTGGTGTAGAGGTAGATGTGCTAATGCCGTGTGTTTTTCTGCTCATAGCATGGACCCATTCATATGACTAATTTAGGTACAGGCTTCTCCAGTGCGAGCGAAATCGAGGGAGCCGGGCCGAAGGCAGCAAGTTCCTCAGGAAAGGAGAGAGAGAGGGACAGGTGAGTGGGGCAGGGGAGGGGCCCAGCATGTTTTTAATGGGATTTTTACCATATTTTTAATGGGATTTTTTCATATTTTAATGTGATTTTTTCGTATTTTTAATGTGATTTTTTCGTATTTTTAATGTGATTTTTTCATGTTTTTAATGGGATTTTTTCATATTTTTAA